AAGTTGGTGGGGGTGGGGGATTGGAGACGGACGCCACGGTTGGAAAGAGGGGAGGCAAGGTGGGGTACACTTTGATTGACGAATAGTGTTGTGATGAATATTTTTTTATTAACTGAAGATATTTGTTTTAGCTCAAAATTCGCACAAATTACCGACCAGAATATAATTTACATTGCTGGAATTCTTACAATTTGATGATCATTTTGAATATAAACATCTGAATTTTTGCATTGAACATACAAATTTTAGATATAATGTTTACTCTGAGTAATATATTTATCTTTTTATTACAAATATATGACATTTATATTCAAAATATTCCTAATCTTATTAAATCAGCAATGTCAATTATATTATCCTAACTTTAGTTGAAATTATTATTTATTAAAATTGAAATGGTTTTAAAATTTCACAAGAGGGAAAAACTAGGGAAGTGTAGTGTGAGAAAAGGGGGGAGGAGTCGAGTCAAGTATTTGAATGGACATTAACTTGGCGACTGTATTTCTCTATTTCTCTTAAGTATTAGTTGTGTGCATGTACCATCATAAAATTAAGATGTTATTTTACTAGAACATAGAGTGTTATTAGCCGAGGAAAAAGTAGAGTTTGGGGTCGGCTAGTCTCTATTAAATTAATCCCATATTTTCTATTTGTTCACTTAACACGGTACCTGTGGGTTCAATTGACCCATTAGCGAAATTTTTGTATTTTAATGTCTAAAATAACATTTTAAGCTAATACTTATTTTCAGGTACCTATTAAATCATTATTGTGAGGAGCCTACTGTATGCGTATTATTCAAAAGTTCCCTGAAAATCTCTTGATTTTATACCATAATACTCATTATTGGAGTCATCCATCATGCAACAAGTTGACTAGTGTTTCATGAACTACATATACTGCAATATGTGTAGTGATCTCCTTGTTGGGGGGGTGGGGGTGCTATGGGGTATCTCCTACCATATGGACAGGATTGATTTATGTCTTTCTCCAGTTGCCATTTAAGGATTTTCCAAAAGCACTTATCCATCAATATTTGGGATGGGAAGTAGTAATGGGTAGTAAAAAGCTTATTGTATTGATTTTTGTATATACAGGTTGTGCCTCTCCAGTCCGGCAACCTCGGGACCTGGCCGGTGCCAGACCATGGAAATTCACCCTTTTCCTGGATAGATGACTGACTTGTGCTTACGCTTGGAAGCACTAGCACCACTACTCTGCTTCATAAGTCTAACTTTGAAGACATATTGAAGGGTTAAATGAGTCTCAGTATAACTTCTCAAATTTCCACGAGTTTTTAATTCAACGTTTTCTATTTGAACAGACCAAAAAAACAACACATTTTAAAAATTTTGGCGGCAGGCTTCGAATTCGGTAGTTTCAGCGGTACAACTTTCAGGCGGCGATGTTAAGCGGGTAAAACTGTGTTATATTATATATATGTATATATATATATATATATATATATATATATATATATATATATATATATATATATATATATATATATATATATATATATATATATATATATATATATATATATATATATATATACATACTGTATTTCTGTGTGTGTGTGTCTTACACAATATTAAAACAATTCTTAAAAATGTTTTGAAGCAGCATCCCCACGAATTAGAGTCACGAGCAGCCACTGTTTGTAAGAGTATTTTCCCACTATTATTTATTTGTATGTCTTTTGTGTGTGTGTCTACACACACATATATACAATACAGGTAAAGGAAATTACTGTCTCTAGAACGAATGGCTCCCTGTCCCAGCTGCGAAAATGCCGGCAACTTTAAAACTACCCGCAGACAATCTTGGGTACATCCAGGGTGTCATCCGCAAATAATAGAGGACCGCAAAATAAAAATCCGTGAATTATTCGAGCGTACTATACTATATTTTGTCAAATAAATAAAGCAATTTGAGCCCTTTTTTGTAAATTGAATCACACTTTCCCATAGACTTCCAACATAAAAGCAGAGATAGGTTCCTAAGGAAAAAATATCCCAAAACAACTTAAAATACCACTAAACATACTGTACTTTAATGTAATTTTTTTGGTGTACACAATGATAATAATACAGGTTGTACCTCTCTAGTCCGGCAACCTCGGGACCTGACCGGTGCCGAACCATGGAAATTGCCGGACCATGGAAATTCACCCTTTTCCTGGATAGATAGTGACTTGTGCTTATGCCTGGAAGCACTAGCACCACTTTCTCTGCATCATGGTCTCTTTGAAGACATATTGAAGGGTTAAATGTCGTATAGTAGCTTCTCAAATTTCGCGAGTTTTTAATTCTTAACGTATTTTATTGGAACACAAAAAAATAAATAAATAAAAATTTTGACGGCGGAAACTTGAATTTCGACGGGTTTGAACGGCCCGCCAACGTGCAGACGACGTGCATAATCGTGTAAACAGCGTCATTTCTCTTATGTACAAAAGATTCATTATTGTTTATTACTGAATGTCTTTTTTATTGAATTAATGTTTATGTGTGCAAAATGAGCAATACAATTCATTAATAATACGTAGAATATTAAAACACACGAGGAAATGACACAGCATTGTTTCGTTGATTACAAAACCAGTGACTGACTGGTTCTACATATAAAACTGAAGAAAATAAGACCTTGGTTGTAGCTGTAGTAAAATTAATATGGTTGTTTTAAGTAATGTTATTTAATGTTAATAAATGGAACAATAGAAGTAGCTAACGATAATGGTAAAGAAAAAAGAGAGATCGCATATGTAAGTGCGCATGCGCACACGTGAAAACATATCATCATTACTTTACATAAGAATATGAAAGCAACACTTATTTACTGTTCATATATATTTTAATTAATGTTTCTGAATTTGTTTTTATTGAATTAATGTTTGTGTGTGCAAAATTAACAACACAATTTATTAATAATACGTGGAATATTAGAGGAGACGAGACGGCTGCCGGCATTGTTTATGTTAAAGCTTATGAAACCAGTGACTGATTGGTTCTACATATAAAACTGAAGAAAATAAGACCCTGAGTTTAGCTGTAGTAAAATTAATGTAAAAAAATGAATATGGTTGCTTGAAGTACCTGTAATGTTATTTAATGTTAATAAATGGAACAATATAAGTAGCTAACCATTAATGGTAAAAAAAAAGTGAGACTGCGCGTATGTAAGTGCGCACATGTGAAAATATATTGTCATTACTCTACATAAGAATATGAAAGCAACACTTATTTACTGCTCATATATATTGAAGGGTTAAAAATGAACTGCCGGATGTAAACAAACCTTAATTTCCCGCGGCTGGGAATAGGTACTGACCCACAGGGCCTGAGGGGCAAAAATTTAATACTCCTGAGATAAGTAAAAAAAAAAAAAAAAAGCTGCCTATCTACCTATTGGACAAACTAAAATCGTTCCTGACCACGGGAGTTTCCGGACCACAGAATGCCGGACTAGAGAGGTACAACCTGTACAAGAAAACTTACAAAAAGCCTTCAACACAGTCCATCATGATATACTACAGGACAGTATAGTCTGGATTTATGCGGTTTTTGTTTACGCATTTGGTCATTTACGCGGTGCCTTGCCAGAATGAAATGTTTTAATTGCGCGGTAAATTTCATCATTTACGCAGCGAGCGGCTAGAGAGGTGCAGACGTGCCGCGCCATTTTTTACTCACACGGTCCATTCTTGACCATACGCGGGAAGCGGCGCAGAGAGGTGCGCATTAGGTAGCTCTTACGTTATCGCTGATGTCATATGACGTATCGGACTGTGATTGGGCCATGCATCCTTATCACCCACGCATTCCGTCCGCCGCTAACTGTGATTGGTCTAATGTAACATGACGTGCCCTGCCACCAGAGGGTAGAAGTCGCTGACCTAGCCGGGCCAGTCTCATTGTTCTCAGTCCGTGTATACAGTTCTCTCTTGTGCCCGCTATTCCCCTCACAATGGCTTCCGCTGGACCCCCACCACCCGAGAAAAACCTTGAATTACCTGGACCAAGCCATGATTATGTGATGGAAATCATCGAGTTGGGGGAGAAAATTAAGCTCATCCTTGACAACGACCCAGACAAGCATCGGTATGAAGAGTCTAATAACCATCTGACGAAAGTTATGGAACCGTATATCCAGATCTATCTCGACAACATCAATGCTAGTCGTCAACGTAGCATTAAGGACTTCTTCGCTCGCAACCCACCACAACCAGCCCAAGTCAGTGACAGTGAGGATATGGACTTTGAGGGGTTTGTCTGGGAGGCCCTGTAAACCTCTGCGAGTAGTGAAAGTGATTCACCGGAGGGCAACTAATCTGCCCTCTGCCTCGAAACCAGCCGCCATCCACGTGTGCAGACCCATCTTTTCTACTAATGTAAGTGTTAAAAAACCTAATATTATTGATATTTCTCTTAAATATTAATTGTGTGTGCATACCATCATAAAATTAAGATGTTATTTTTACTACAAGGTACGTATTGTGTCGGAAAAAGTGGAGTTTAGGGGTCGGCCCAGTCTCTATTTCAATTAATCCCATATGTTCTGTTATTTCGTTTACGCGTTTCTCGTTTTACGCGAACCTCCACGGGTTCAATTGACCGCGTAAATGCAGACTATACTGTATAAGAAAAACCGCAGGCTCTTTGCACTGGGTCTGCTGGCTGGTTTAAATACGTAATATCTTAGCAACAGGAAACACATTCTTGTTACAAATAATACCGAGTCAACATCAATGCAATAGCCAGTGTAAGTTGTGGAGTCCTACAAGAGAGTATCCTAGGACCATTGCTGTTCCTATCATATGTTAATACATTTAATCTTTTTTTTTCCTGTGGTGAAAAAAGCCATTTTTTCCTCTCATACTAAGAAATGGATACGAATTTAAAATATCTTAAGTTAAAAGCAACTAATGTCAGTAATATAATTAATAATGATTGTATGTTTTCCTAATTAATTATAGAAGTGTTGTACTGTACTTACATCAGGATAATGCATAATTCCCAATTGCTGCACATAGGTAAGAATTTCTTCAATTTCTTCTTCGTTTTTTTCTTGCCTTTATCAAGAATGAAGCCATCCATTACCTATAAACAAATAAAAAAGAATGCATGTAAGGCAAGGCATGATTTAGATGATGATTGTAATGGCCTCCAGAACAATATTCATGCTGTTTAAAAAAATTGTATTACAGGCATCCCCTGGGTTACGGAAGGGTTCCATTCCTGAAAATCTTTCTGTATCATGAAAACATTTTCCCCACTGACTCCCATTACTGTATATCCCGGCTCACACGACGCTTTAAGTGATAAGAAGCATCCTATAATTGGCAAGGTACATTTTGGAAAAAAAAACAATTATTTTTGGATTTAACCCTTACGCCCCGGGCTAGGGTGGTGCCGGCTGTAACCCCACGCGGGATAAAACGATAAAAATCAACTTTTCCAAAAATAATTTTTAACCTTTATAAATGATAAAACAATAAAAAATACGGAAGAAAAACTATATATTGTCCCTCTAGAAACATCCGTGGCGCCTCGGTGACGAGGTAAATAAGGGGAAAGGTTTTTTTGACGGCTGGTGCTCACGGTCACTACTCACTTAGGGGTAATTTTTTCGCCTGCCTTTGTGTCCGAGATGGCCAATAATGCATATATTTACTGATCATAATACTTATTTCCTTTAAATAATTAATTTAGAATGTATTTTACTTGCATTACTTTTCATAAAAAATGCTCGCGACAGACTGGGCTGTCTGGGTATTTTTGTTTTGAGGAGAGCATGTATGTCATACAAATAATTATCGGAATAATAATTCCACAAATAAATACCATTATTATCTAGTAATACTACACTACAATACAACTACACTACTTTTAGTAATATTATTTTGATACATGATAAAATGGACAAACAATGAAAAATAAACAACAAAAGATGGTACTTACCAAGAAACTTCCCTCTGACCATGAGTAGGGTGCCGAGGTGGTGGTGGTGGTGATACCCTGACACCTTGCTAGCTGTTTGCTAGTGCTCGAGGGTAGTGACGAGTGAATGCGCACAACTGTGTACCTTTTACACAAATATGACACTTTGTACCTTACATATGAACTTACACTACTATTTACACTATTTACAAGCATGTACCACATTGTTTGAGAATGTTTTCTTAGAGTGGTACTCCATAAAGCAAGGTTTACAGAGACCAACATCATACTCCTTTCACCATGCTTAGCTGGGCGCTTAGTAGTGTTCTTGCAGACATAACACCGCCTTTGCACCTTAGACCACTTGGAAGAGTCGGGAGATCGTCAAGGTAGTGACGAACAACCCAGTCATGTGGAAGGAGTCTTTCAGGTAGGCCTGCTTGACTGTGACATCATGGTGCAGCTGCCACAATGGTGCCATACTTCTCTAGGAGTTGTGTTATAACTTGCTTCTGAAAAACCCTGATAGAGGGTTTTTCCCAGTTTTTACAAGGTACAAGTTGTACACATTTAGGATGGTGACATCCAAGAGTTGTAGGAACATTTTCTTATACCATTTGACACATTTCCGTACACACTCAATTGCACCAACCTTCAGGTCACTCTTGTCCACGAGCCGCATGTTGACACTGTAGTCCACGACAGATTCAGGTTTTTTCATGACCTCTCCTGTGGTCCAGTCCCTTTTTCAACCGTCCACCATTTCGCCTTTGTGCACGGGTGACAGCATCTGCACAGTGCGCTTATCATGCCAGCATATTGCAAACAACTTGTCTGCTTGCTTCAGCTGGATCTCTCCTCGTGCAGGTTTACCAGTAAACATGGGCCAGTGTTTCCTGTTCTTGCGTACAGTCCCACAAGAACCGTAGAGGACGTGATTCCCTCCAAAGTAGCGGTCCATAAGTTTCTTGAAAGAAGCGCCAGAGAAACCATGTAGGTTGTCCTTGGGTATGTCTACATCACTTGCTGTGTAAACAATGAGATCTAAGACATACCCAGTATCGCAGTCACACAGCACAAAGAACTTGATCCCAAAGCGATGTCGTTTGGAGGGAAAGTATTGTCAAAAAACAACACGTTCTCTGAAAAGCACCACAGACTCGTCCACCACTACATTCTGAAATGGTCTCAAGAACTTCAGAAAACGTTCCTTCAGCATCGTAAAAACTTTCCTTATTTTCCATAGTCTGTCACCAGCCACAGGAATGTTGTTATCTACGAAGTGTAGATAACATAGGATGGAGGTAAACTGGTTTCTGGACATGAATTTTGCCAACAATGGAGTTGCTGTGATGTCATCAGGAGATATCCAGTACTCCAGAAATACGGGTTTTTTCACATGTGCCATCAGCATCAGTAATGCAAAAAACATACAGTTCGGAAACACCGACATCACTCCAGCAACGCATGTGTGGAAAGGGGTCAGGGCCTGGATCAGCATCACACATGTACTGATAAAATTTATTTGTCTCGGTACACAGTACAGTATGTCCTCGCTTAACGTCATGGTTACGTTCCAAAAAACTGAGACGTTAACGGAATAATTTTTCCCCCCAAGAAATAGATAAAATACAGGAGTTACGTTCCCCAACCTCCCTTTGCCCCATTAAATACATTACATATACAGAAATTCAATGGCATTTTTAGAAAATAGTATATAGTATATATACATATACTGTACTGTATATATATACAGCATCCCTTTGGGGTTATCACACCTAATTGGGACCGCGCTGAGTGCGTGATAACGAAAAATGTGATAACGAAAGTACAGAACCTATGGGATTTATTCTAATTGGTTCCTGGCAAGGCCCAACCCTAATTTTCCCATTTTACGACCATTTAGACCCACTAAAGACATAGATAATGTTAGAGTAAGTGTCAAAAACACACATAGGCATGGCCAAGTTTATTACAAAGTGATGAAAAGGGTACGCTCAATACTGTAGTCCACAAAACATGTAGCTATGCTTTCTTTATTTGAGTCCCCCGTCATACGAGTCCGTTTTGTCATAAATTCAGGACACCTGAGTCCTGCGTTTTCTCTCAATCTTAGAGTGCACCCGAGACTTCGTTTTTCCATAGTAATGACACAGAATTTGAAATTGCAACTGGGGTTGCAATTGTTGAGGCAACTTAGATATGTCTGATTGCAGCAAATGTGTTATTGTCAATTTGTAGGTGAAAGATTTTATCCTCAATAGATGTAGGTGAAGCAAATGGGTAAAAACACCTGGAGGCAACTGCGTGATAACGAAATTCTCAGCTTGAAAAATGCGCTATAACAGAAGGTGTGCAGATTATGATGGAGGCGTGATAACGCAAATCGCGATCACCAAGGGATGACTGTGTGTATGTATATATGTATGTATGTATGTATGTATGTATATATGTATGTATGTTTGCATGTATGCACACATACATACATCCTTGACCACAGAAGGGTTAAGACGTACCAGGGCGCTCCTCTCGGAGCAGCCAGGTCAACTGTTATGTTGGCCCATACCAACCCCCTCCCTTGAACCCTCCTCCCCACCGAAATATCAACAAGTTCTCGCCAGAAGTTACAATTTCATTTAGGAAAGGAATCAAATGGTGGTGAACAGTGCTTAAGTCCGTGAAAAACAACTCAACAGTAACAGTCGTACCCAAGTTAACCTTCACACAGTGAGGTCCCAGGTACCCAGTGATAATGGCCCGTGAGACCCAACAACAACCAGCGATGTGTTAATCCGTCTACGATAGGAACAACACCTCACTCCTATAACACCATCTGTGAGGGAATTACTACACCAGGTCAGGTCCCCCATAACACCATCTGTGAGGGAGTTACTAAACCACGTGAGGCCCCTCATAACACCATCTGTGAGGGAATTGCTACACCACGTGAGGCTCGTCATAACACCATCTGTGAGGTAATTACTACACCACGTGAGGTCCCTCATAACACCATCTGTGAGGGAATTACTACACAACGTCAGGTCCCTCATAACACCATCTGTGAGGGAACTACTACACCACGTGAGATCCCTCCTAACACCACCTGGGAGGGAATTACTACACTACGTGTCTGCTGTTCAACACCTCAGCTCACATGATCTACGTGTGTAAACATTAATCTGTATGTTCACTGTATGTTCCTTTACCTTTCTCTAATGAAGGCTTTTGTTAAACCACCAATGTATGTAATAAGTCATTTATATCCAATGTATATTTTCAGCCTTCGGGCTGCAGAACTTTTTCAATAAACCGTTAATTTTTATTATTATTATTATTATTATTATTATTATTATTATTACATACATACATACATACATACATATATATATATACACAGTCATGCGCCAGTTAACGTCCAACCAAACAACGTCCGATCGCATATACGTCCGTAGCCCATGAAAAAAAATAAAAAGTTAAAAAAAACCCTCACACAACCACCAACACTTCCTTCACACCAACACCTCCCTCACCCCACCACCAAGACCTCCCTCAAACAACACCCACACCTCCCTCACACTACCACCAACACCTCCTTCACACCAACACCTCCCTCACCCCACCACTAACATCTCCCTCACACCAACACCCACACCTCCCTCACACCAACACCTCCTTCACACCACCACCGACACCTCCCTCACACCATCCTCAAACCACCACCAACACCTCCCTCACATCACCACCAACACCTCCCTCACATCACCACTAACACTTCCCTCACAGCACCACCAACACCTACCGTAAATACTCGTGTGTAGTTCGAGTTTTTAAGACCAAATAATTAGGCAAAAAATTGGGGGTCGACCTCTACATGCGTAATAGTTTTGTTAGGTTGAACCCGTGCATGATGAGAAGGGCGAGGAGCAACTTTTAGCTTGAGACATGAAATATATTTACCATTTACAGCCAGTAAACAATGGAAATGTAAAATATGTACCAATTAGTAATGAAAAGCTGTGCAGTTCCTTCAGCAAATGAAGCTCACCAACTTACAATAGGCTAAATTACCTTACAACGTGCTTTCAGTATTCTATGTTGAAGTTCTTAGCACAGGCTAACTTATCATATCATATACGGTATCACAGTTCTCATTGATCTAC